GGGGGGGGAGGGTGGAGGATGGGGTTTGCAACAACAGAATGATGACATAGAGCGGCGGGGAGTGAAGATGAAAGGATAAATCACCATCTTAGGGGCGAGATATAGTCGGAACACCACTCGACTCTTGAATTCACCACATCGGGAGCAGGATACCACTAGAACCATACTCGACCCTTGGATGCAACCTCCTCAAAGGGAAAATATGAGATACCAACAGCTATCCTGAAAGAAAACATACCAAAAACTGACATAAAACACAAACTGTATCAACCTAAGGTAAATAGGTATGGACCCCACTCCAAATAGGAGGGAAGTCTTTGGTTGGATGAACCGGCCTATCCTTCCTGTATTTGGACCAAACGGTTCAAATGGCACACTTACTGCGTCCCTATGCGGGCATGTTCCTGCTTTTGTTAAAGGACACCCCACATTAGTTTCCCTTGATTCGGGGAGCATCAACCATCCGTTGAAGCTCTTAGCTCCTCATAGTATAGTTTCAGGTTGGCCATGGTGAAGGTGGTGGAGTTACTATAAGTCCTGGTAGGTCAATCCTACAAACATTGTCATTTTAAAACACATCCTGACGGAATATATATCCATCCTGCTTTATCATAACATAAGCCAGAGCTACATGTAAATATAGATTCTCATAAAGTAACTCTCGAGCCATTAAGTCCATAATTTATTTCTCCCACTTTTTATTCTCGGTTGAATGTATCTGATAAACAAGCATATCACGAGGAATTGACTCTCGAATGAAATCTATTGCAAACTATACCACATTGAAGTATAGCCACTCAGAAGAGACCTCTTCTTCTTCTTTGAAAATGACCTGAATTCCACTGTAGGATATTATTTCTCTGAAATCTTATAAGTTGATATCCAACAATGTTGATTATCTATCCTGCCTGATCATTTGTCGATGGGTACATTAGTCAACTAATTTTACTGCCCAAATGATTCCATATGGTCTTTTAGAAGTGACACTGAAGTGTGTCATTTTTGACATGTTGGACCTTCTTCAGTATGGACAACTCAGGAATTGGACTATATGTCTAAAAGTCTGAAATTTTTATGGGTTGTCATGTGTCTGGTTTTGGTTCCTTGGATTTATGACCATCCCGGGCCACCAATATTAGTTTGTTAGAGTCTCTCATGAGTTCAACTTGAACTACATGTTTTTTTCCCTAGTCATTTGGAGTTTGATATTCTTCCTTTCTGTCCTCACTTCTTCAGTATTTACTGTGTCATCGTTCATTTCTTCAACTATTCCTTGCTCAGTGAAATTGATCGTTCTCTTGGTTGGGCAATCTGATTTAATATGCCCAAATTCGTGGCACTTGAAACTCTTCCTAGCTGGAATGGAGTTGGAAATGCGGATTGGTTCCACCTATTTTCTACTCTAAACTAGTGTTTCCTCAGGCGGTGCCAGCTTGGATGTTCAGTTGGGTTGAGTACTCTTACTGCTTGATCATGTGATTGGACTATGTCTGTAATGAGTGACGGTCATCCAGTGAGGTCGTCCCTCCACTTTTGAAGCTAGGATCTGAACATTTTGTCTGTAAAGCATTGATTGGTGCTAGCACCGTATCTCTCATTTCATCTTAAATTATGTAGTAGTTTACTCTTCCATTCTCGCTACTAAAGAATCTTGAAGTTCTCTCACGACTAAGATACGCTCTTAACTTACTAACTATTTTCACCATTCCATTTGAGGGGACGACTTGGTACTCAAAGACACTTTCCAAGGTCCAGAGCCACTTGATGAACCAAGGTCCAGAGCCACTTGATGAACTCGTCCAAATATATATGCCTGTCAAAATATTACAAATTTACCTTTACTTAAAATCATGGCTTCTCTAATATTTCATCTCAAATTATCGGTGTAGTGGTTCTTCACCTTTAGAATTGATAGAGTTTGTGTGACCCTTATGGATGATTTTCTCTCGAAGATGGCGAGCCTCTATTGTAGTTGGGGGCTTCCCTATAAAGTTCATTGGCATCTTTTTGTTGATTTCTCATAAGGGTCATTGTGTAGTTTCCTCATAATCAGGTTTCCGACAACTATCTCCATAAGGATATGGTTAAGGTTTGGGTATGTGGAAGAGGGTGTGCTGGATGATGTTGAGTTGGAAAGAAAAATTTTGGGTGGTTAATTTAGAAAATTAAACAAGAGTGTGGGGATTTCGGTAAATCTAGGATATGACTGAGGTTAAACTAGCTTTGATACAAAATGATACTAGAATTCACCCAAAAGATAATAAATAAACAAATATTATTTCTGAAAAGCAGAAAAGTGGTTACAAACAATACACTAAAATGAAAATAAAAGAAAACACAACACAAAAATATGAAATTCTGACAAATGACAATAACAACTCAAATTAGGGTGAATCTCGGGGTGGTGGTGGCGATCGGCGATGGTTTGATCCCCCATAGGGGTAACAAAGGGTGTGGGAAGGGCTGAAGAGGTAGAGACAACAAAGGGGTGTGGGTAACCACAAGGGGGAGGTGAAAAGTTGTAGAAACAGTAAGTGTGGTTACTATCCTGAGCGAGGGCAGCAAGAGAGGGAATTGCATTGTGGGAGAAGTGGTTGGAAGGGTGATGGACGCAGGAAACATCAAGAGAGGGGTTGGAACAACGATTTCAGCTATGTGGAAGGTCTAAACAACGACGATAATGAAGTAGAGGGAAGACAGCGATGGCGGTGGTTGGAACTGCGGAAGGGATAGATGATGTGAACAACAAGAGTATTAGGGGAAAGATAAATCACCACCTAAGTAGCGAGATACAACCGGAACACCACTCCTCAAAGGGAAAATCTGAGATGACAACGACTGTCCAAACAGAATGCGAGCCAAAAACTTACCTAAAATACTATCGCAATAACCTAAATTGAGCTAGGGTAAATAGGAGTGAACTCCACACGAAACAAGCGTGAAGTTCTGCTTGTAAGAAAGGGAGGACCGACTTGTCCTTCCTTTGTTTAGACCAAACGATTTAGATGCGGCACTTGCCACTCCCCTGTGTGGGCACGCCTAGGGGCGTGATCTCGTGTTCCTTAAATGACACCCCATGCCAGGCTAGCCATTAGGCATTAAGTATTCAGACATGCCATATAATAGCAATAGATTTAAATTTTGAAATTATGAAATTATTACTCTTAGTTTTTAGTGGATGGTGAAAAAAATGGTGACGAGCTCGATCAAGATCCGGGCTTTTTTGTTTTCTCAGGTTATCATGATCCATAGTCTATTTTTTAGAGGAGTTAATCAAGCCAACCTAATAGAAGGGATTGTCATGAATTACTTCGTCTAAGGGGAATCTTGTAGATCTGGGGTGAATGTTTGCCTAAGGGGACTTCTAAATCAACATTAGCTAACGAAAGACATAGTGCCCTATGAGGTATATCTTATGATTTACAACTTGAAGGGGCAAAAAATCATTAAGGGAATATACGGGCTACAACCTTGACTGTAATATAGTAGAGCCTATTGACCAAATCACTCTGTCGGAGGGCTCTGATTGTAATGATTTCTTTTGTGTTGGTCAAACCATGCATATAAAGGACTTAAGCCACATTATTACTGGCACATAATCATTTTGATTTTGAATTTAGTTGTATATTCAATATGACATTAGCTTTTGGGCTTGCCTCTAAGTCATGATGCTCAATTTATCCACCATCTGTATAGAC